CCTGAATTCAATCAGAGTCACAATGCAGCTGGAAAAAGCAGAGGCATCTGTGTGTGTCTCTATGATCCTCTTCTTGCACGCCTGTAATAGTGCGTGCTATATTTATACCCTTTTATTAGTGTCTTGCGCTAACACAGAAGAAATTGATGTACTGCACATTCCAGCTTTAAGAAGAGGACAAACACGTGGCTCTCTTGAGTCTGACTGACTTCACTGAACCTCAAAATGTGTTTTCGAAGATCACAACAAGGTTATCTGTTACTTCAATAATCAGTCAGAGATTTTGAGTTATATGATGCACTTAAAGATGCATGACGTTTTGATTGACCACAGTAAAAATAATATTGTGTCCTACTGGTTAGTAAAAATTAATATGAGACTTAAAAGGCAGGGTTGGTGATTTTAGAAAACTAGCATGATTTTAAAAGCAGTATTCCCTCAGTGCTCCGTCTACACCCCTTCCCCTCTGTGCGCCCTCAAAAGCCACGCCCCCTCACTTACATGCACGGGCGCCGTTGCTCCAGAAGTGGACCTCAGCTCATCTCTTGCATTGTGTAGAAACTTCGTCGTCTCATTTAGCGGTAAGTAAACTCACAGTATAAACTCTGTCTTTGGTGATGCGCTTTAAATGTGTACGCAAGCGGTAGAGAGCGAGCAGAGAGACAGGGAGGCGTCTGATTGGTTCATCAGATTGGTACCTCGTGGCAGACGTTGGTCAAAGTTTTTACAGGTTTACAACTGCTACAGATGACGGATTTTCTTCGTTCCTTTTTTAGAGCACGAGTTATTAATATCTGTCAGCACCTAAAGACAATCTCAACCAGAATCTTAAAAAGTGGAGAAAATTACCAACCCTGTCTTTAATGCTTCTCTGTGGTGTTTCTGACCTCCAGTCCAGCTGTTTAACATTCTCACACAGCCGCCATTTTCTTGCTTTTATGGGGTTGATGAACTGAATCTGAAACAGCCACATGCTAATTGCTCATTATAATTAAGGCTCGGGCAGCAGACCCCGAGGCCCTACATGAGAGTTTATGTATATATCTCCAGGTTGTGTTTGCCATGACACTTTGCACCACCAATGAAGATAAGGTCAGGAGAGAAAGCATACTTCAACATGTCTTCACCTTTGTCTCCTTCTCTGCTTTAGACCTGCTATGTGGATTATCTGAGTGTCGACGAGGAACACTTATCTGCGAGCGGAGAAACATCTTTAAGAGGGAAGAATAACATGAGAAATTCTTAATGTAATGATGGAGGAGTTAGACATGTATGAAAGAATAACTCGAGCTGAAAAAGAAATACCACTGAATTGAGTGATAGGAAAAAAAGTCAAAGCACGGTCAGAAAAAAAGCTCAATAATTTTAAAATGAAAATTAAAAGAAGCTATGTGATACAAACAGACTCATGGCACACAAAATGTAAGTCGAAAGCTGGATAGCCATGTACTTCAAATTTAGAGTGGAAAGCGAGAAAAAGTGTGTGTGCGTTTGTGTGTGCGTGTATGCTCTTCTTAGGAGATAAAAAAAAGGATTTATAGGCTTTTACGCTTTTCTTCACTAAAGTATTTAGTGATATGTAGCCGAGGTTGAGACACGGAGGTCACCTGAGAGAAGTCGATTCTGTTTCTCTCTTTGAGTCTGCGGTAAAGAACCAACGAGAAATCTTAAAGTCTTCCCGCAGAATGCAAAGAGACGTAACAAAAATAAAAAACGAGAGAAGGCAACACCTTGAAGGTCTGTGAGGAGGCTGATCCGGCACTTGAACTGGATTTAGAGGAGATATCACACTTCAGTCACAACAGACACTGAGCCAAAGAGATTTCAATATTAAATGGAACCGTTTGATTTACTTCAAAACGAATGTATGTCACATGAAGTGAGCTTTCACAGCAATAGTTCAACAAGCTTCTCAAATTTTTTAATTTCTGTATTCACACTAACACAGACCGAGTGATCCGAATGTAACTGATGCCAAGTGATACTCAAGATGAGGTGTCAGAGTGTGTGTGTGTGTGTGTGTGTGTGTGTGTGTGTGTGTGTGTGTGTGTGTGTGTGTGTGTGTGTGTGTGTGTGTGTGTGTTAGATGAGTCCGTCCTACAGTAACAGTGGGTGCTGTTCTGCAGCAGACGGCTCTCTGTCGTCTCCTTTTTTCCCGACTTTCCACAGAGGAAATGCTTCCCATTTCAGCAGCAGACGATCATAAACGCTTTCTCTCACTGAGAGGAGTTGAGCGTAGAGACGTTGGCAACTAATGTTACAGAAAAACTCAACATTAACAGAGTCCGCTCTCAGTAGAAGGGGGAAAGGTTTATCATACTTTTCTAAAAGTGTTTATTTTTTAATTTCAATATATCTCTTATTATTGTGTTTAACCTTTATTTAACCAGGAGAAAACTAAAATCTATTTTCAAAGAAGGTCCAGGTCAACACAGGCAGCAGGTCAGTGAAATCAAAAGTTCCCAACCAAACAAATATAATACGAGATACATGATGACAATACATCAACAAGACATGAAATAACAAGTTAAACCAGCAAATATTGGTCAAAATCAACCACAGTCCGAAATAAAAAGCAGGCAGAACATCTAGAGCCAGATAATTCTGCCTCCAAGTCATTTAAAAAAAAAAAAAATCACCTTAAAAAGCCTCCAATGAGAGCGGCTCGTTAACTTTGAGCTCTTTTACTCATTTGTTCCAAGTAAAGGGAGCAGCAAACTTCAAGGCCTTTTTTTCTTCTTTCTGACCTTTGGAACAAACAGTAAGAAAATGTACTGGGACCGGAGAGTGTAAGTTCTTGGACTCTTCTGACTGATGTAGCTTGGAAGGTGCTCTAAGACAGACTTATAAATAGTCAGGGTGTAAAAGTCTTCATGTGGAACCCGGAGGACCGTCCAACACGTGCATAAGGCAAACAATGATTTTATTTAACAGGTGTAAGCCGGTTCAAATCACCCGAGGCAGCAGCTGTTCTAGTAGAATGCACTGATTTGGCTAAAATGCAGTATGCAGAACAAATGCAAGATCTGCAGAATGCCAGAAATACCAGGATGTGATACTGATTTTTTTTTTTTTTTAAATCAGAGTATGCATCAGACCTTCTTCCACACTTCTGTTTTCCACAATGCAAAGCGCCAGCTCAGAGATCATGCATTAGCGATATCACAAGTGTTCAAATTCTTTAGTTGTCTGCACTTACCGCTTTATTTCTTAGTAATATTTCTAATTCTATCCATATTTATAAATATATTTCTTTATTTCTTTCTGCTATATTGTGTAAATGCTCCCCCCCCCTCCCAAGGGATTCTGATTGTTACTTTATGGTATGTGTGATTGATTTTCCAAAAAATCTTATAGTCTCCATTAAATGATTTAAAAAGAAATAGCATGTTTATTTTTACATGTTATCAACAAGAGATGATGTCATTCTTTCTGCTCTATGATGATGATCATGTAGAATAGTTGATGTTTGTTTTCATACATGATGTTTTTGTCATGTGATCAAGATAAGGTAAGATACTGTTATTGTCCCTTTAGGTACTTTGTTCACAACTCCGTCAAAGTGCAGTTGCAACAAAAAAATTAAGCACACACGCACACACACACACACACACACACACACACACACACACACACACACACACACACACACTATAGTAAATATTAAAAACTGCAGCGTAGTACGGAGCCCAGCCCAGCCTCCAGAACCAGGAAAAGAAAAACACATCATCCCTATCATGCAAATCCAAACTTAATGCCGAGCTTTTTATCCACACAGCATTTTAGTCCAACTTTCAGAAAGCAAAACATACATTCGAACATGAGGAGACTACAAACCTGCAACTTTTTATTCGTACTATTTAAGCCGACTTCCTTTCTTTCTTTCACATGATGACGGGCCTTTTTCACTCGCCCTCTTTGCTGCTGTACAATAACAGTTTGACATGAAGATCCATCCAGGACCCAAACATTGTGCAGACACATCGACAAGATGTTTGCCTCGGTGCGATTTATAGCATCATAAATACAATTGGAGCATGTGCAGCCTCTCCCTTCACACACACCCTTTAATCAAAGTTACAATTATACCGTGCACTGTGTAAACCGGGCCCCCCTGCTCTGTCTGAGGTGACAGGTAGGCCTGCACACCGTTTTACTCCTCTGCTTTTCATATGCAGAAACATGCTGGGAGTAAACACATGCAGGAGAATTACAGCGTATCTGACCATGTTTCACCCTGAATGAAGCCCCCACCCAAGAGCTGTGCCATTTCTCTGCACATAGTATAAAGTTTGCTTATTTTATGCAGCTGTCATTTTTGGGTTGCGTCCTCAGGTAAAGATGAGAAGGTTTTAGAAGAAGGAAGTCTCCGTTCTTGCACACTTTCTGTCTCACGTTCTCTCTTTGTGTCCTTTGTTTCATTTCTTTCCTAGCCTTCATCGTTTCTTCCCTCTTTCTTTATCATCATCTCACCTTCTTTTAGTCTACCTTTTTTCATTCAATCTTTGTCGCTATCTCTTTGCTTTTATGTCTTTTTTTCTTTCTTCCTCATGTTTTGCCTTTCTTTCTTTTAATCTATCTTTTGGTCTGTTTTAGTTTTTCTCTCCCCCAACTATTATTCTGCCCCTTTTTTCTCTCTCTCTTTCTTACCTCACATTTCAGCTGTCTCCTCCCCCCTCTTTTTCCGCCTTTGTCGTTTTTCTTTATCGTCCACTTTCTTTCACTCTCACCCTCATTTTCTTCTGTCTCTCTTGAGTTTGTCTCTTTCTTTCTCTCCTTCTCACCTTGTTTCAGTCTGTCTTTATGTCCTCTCTATTTCCTCTCCTTTTTTATCGTTTCCTTTTGTCCTCACCTTCTTTTTGTCTTTCTTCTTTCACTCTATACCTCCATCTGTATTTCTTCATACTCTCATTTCTTTCCTCTTACACACTTCCCTCTCACAGCCGTGAAATGATAATACACACAAAGTGGATTCTGGCCTTCTCGTGGACCACTCTTACCTTTCACTTCCCCCAGCAGTTCGTTGGCGTTCAGGCGGTCGACGCGTTCCTTCCACTCCTTAGAAAGGAGCCTCTCCATGCAGGTTGGTTCTACAAAGAGAGAGCGAGGACATTTACCTTCACTTTGATGCTTTTAGCAGCCTAACACACACGCAGATAAATGAAGACTTCAGGCCATGAAGAGGTAAGAGGACAAAGAGAGAGAGGGACCCCTCCCTCTGACTTGTTGGATTGATCAAAATGAGAAGAAGACACTTTGTCCTGCTTCTCCTTTTTCCTTAAAATAAAGCTGCAGCAGCTCCCCAGCTGACCAGATGAGAATGTGGCCATTGTTCTGAGACGGGCTCTCACTCGCAGCCGTCCTCTTTCTCACAATGTGTCTCATATAGCCTCAGGATAATAGACATCAGCGACACGTGGTCTCATAAGATTCATAAGGTCTCATTTGTTCACTCGGAGTCCTGCTATGAACTTTACTCAAACAATGGGAACTTTTTAAATTCTTCAGAAGGCAGATAGCCGACACACACACACACACACACACACACACACACACACACACACACACACACACACACACACACACACACACACACACACACACACACACACACACACACACACACACACACACACACACACACACACACACATCGGCACATGTGCAGGTATAAGTCTTTGAGCGCCTGTGTCTGTTTGTTTCCATTTTATTCTTTCCTCAGTTTAAGACAGAAACAATATTTTAAGCTTTGTGATTTTTATTAGACAGCTAAAGTATGATTAACACAAGTGAATATAGTAGAGCTCCATCTGAGCCAGCAACAAGTTAGCATTGTGCTAATATTTACGGTAAGGTCACTTTATTGGTACTCATAGGTAGATTTTGGTTTGAGGTGAGGGAGTCAGCGTTCCTCTTACACACAAACGACAGTACAGGTTTCTCTCAACAGAGAAAAGACCTTAGTAAAAAACAAGGTAGTAACCCATTGTAAGAATTAGACAAATAACAAATAACAATAAGATTCAAATTATCAAATTAGACTACAACATCAATCAAAGCAAGATCAGACTAAAGATGTACCACTGATCAATAAAACATGGAGCGAGGTAGAAATCAGTAAAAACAAGATTATATGTCAATTTTGGGCTTTTTGTCTTGGTGCCTTCATTGTAGAGATAGGACAGAGGATAGAGTCGGAAATCAGGGAGAGAGAGAGAAGAGAATGACGTACGAGTAAGGAACCACAGGTGGTATTCGAACCTGGGATTCCCGCTTGAAGGACTGTAGCCTCCATACATGGGGCTTGCGCACCACTGCGCCACCATCGCCCACAATTTGACCCATAATAAATATTTGAATAACAGTAGCCATTCTGCTCTCCTCTCAGTGTCTACTTAAAATAACTGTAAAGAGAAAAAAGTGCTTTTAAGTGCTGTTTATATTTTATTTGACTTGTAATGTTGTAAACAATACAATCATCTTTGGCGCTGACTTCAACTTAAAAAGAGCCCAAATACTTCAGATTTATACGACATCAATGCCCATTTTGATTATGTTTATGATCCACATTTCAGAAGTAACATAAAGTATACAGTCCTCATGTTGTCTCTATGAAGTCTGGATGTTTTCATTATTACTTCAGATGCCATGTTTCTCTGAGAATTTAGAGGGAATGCTAATCCTAAGAGAAACATCGCGTGCACAGACAACACTGAAATGTGAATGTCTCCTTTAAACAAACTGACAGTGAATCTTTTGCGCTAATGGTTTGTTTAGATGAGATGTAAAATCAAGCTTGAGTTGCTCTTTTTACCTGTTGCAGGTCTGACAGCGACGTTGCTCAACAGACATTTTTTTATTAATTTAAATGGAAGTGGGTTCGCTCTACTGAAGTCATTCTTTAAGGTACTACTAACAACAGTTGACATCAAATCAAACAAGACTGAAAAATAAAGTGTTATTCATTTTCAGCAGTTTATTTCTCTTTTTTAAAGCTCCTGTGAGGAGTTTTTAACTGGTTATGAAGTAGACTGAAGTTAATACTGATGCCTCTATATGGCCAACTGAAGAAATCAAGATCATCATCATGAAGATTTACAGTTTCTATGTTATCTTTAAAGCCTGATATCGCTGCCGCAGGGTAGGTGTCAGACACGGCGATGGTGGAAACGATCACGACCACAAAGCAGGATGACTATTTTTTTTTTAATAATTACTCAGCTAAGTAGGTATGATCAGCAAGCACACAAAGGCCATTTTTTTTTACCACAGGGGGCCCCAAAAATACAAACCACACAAACCTTATGTTCCTCACAGGAGCTTTAAAGCAACAATATGTAACTTTTGATTGCATATTGATAGGAGCTTCATGAAAAGTTAGGATGCAGGTCCGATGCAGAGTTGGCTGTGTCAATATACGATGGGTGTTTTACGACAGCGCAGTTGCACTAAGTGGCCTTTGGTTGGAGCCAATTCACAGCAAACCAAATTCCTCCAATATGTTGTTTTAAATAAAAATCTCCTCTTTAGTCTGCAAAGCTTGAGGTAGAAATCCAACCTGATGGCAAAAAACAAAAGAATAACGATTTCTGATTTCTCTTTGATGGTCTGGTATCTGTATCATTTTTAATTTGAGTCAGTTTAGTAACAAGTTAATAACTCCTTCCAGTGCATTTGAACATTAAACATAACAGTATTGTTTGTAAATGTGACACTGCTGCATCAACAGCCTGACTTTGTGCATGTATATATTCTTGTTTTGGTGGCAGCGGACGTGCCACAGATGGTGTCATGGTCACGCAGGGCCCCAATGCCGACGCCTCAGTCACCAAGGACGTCGGAAAAAAACACACAGAAAAAAAAAGGAGACATTCTTGGGTGCTGTGGAAAACATGCCTCTGAGGGCTTGCCTGATTTAGAATGGTTAGGTCAGACAATAGCTCATTTGTGGAGTCTTTATCCTGACAAAAGGCGCTACAGGCATTCATAAGAGCACATGGCCTATTGTGAATGGCTTAATGTTGAGTTTGTGCATACGAGGCCATTGTGTGGTCAAGACATGCCGTCCAGCTGCCTCGCACAACTTTCTCATTGAGTCCATTAAAGCTGTGTATGTCAACAGGCCCGGATTATGATTGTTGTAAATAAGCTAATGCGGCTGTTCACATCACATGGGATCAATGTAAACAAAAGGGAGGGGGGCATAGGTAGAGAGGGCGCAGCAGAGGAGTTATAAGACAACAAAACGTCAAACTACAGGAGTCTATGATGGTGATTTTCCATATTTAGTAAAAGAAAATGACAAACACAGGAAATTCCAGACAGATGCAGAAAAGTCAGATAATTGATATGATCCCCTCCCCCCAATCCCCCAGGACAAAGGAATCCACCCAATCTTTCATAGATTTATTGGACTAGTGGCTCCTCTTGAAATGTATTTGTGTATATTTGGTTCAATGGATGATATTTACAGCCGGTAAAAGAGGGGGAAAGATGTAGGAGGGGGTCAGGAGGAGAGGCTTTTTTTTCCCTCTCTCATCACAGGACCTGAGGACGGCGATGTGTGCGCTCGTTCAGCCGGCTGCGTATAAAACAAAATTAGGAAGCGCAATTTATGGGAGCACTTAAGGAGGAAAATACAACCTGTAACTCCAAGATGCATCTGCGTAAGTCACCCATTTGTGTACTCGATGCACAATTTATACCCCCCCTCACAGATAAACAGATGAGACGCAGAGACAGCGTGGGGGGGGGGAGGGTGAGTAGGAAGGGGAAGAAGAAGATGAGAGGGATGAGAGAGAATGAGAGGGAGATGTTTTACCCTAGATGGCTCTCTGTCTGTCCCCGCAACCGAGTCGGGGATCAAGTGCTGTTTAGATTGGAGCGTGGATAAAAATTCCTCACTGTCCGAACACCGACTCCTTCATCAAGTGGAGGAGAAGTGCGGGAGGTGGGCGGTTATGAAGGAGGGGAGGGAGAGGGAGGATGAATGGGGTGAGGAGAGAAAGAAAGGTAGATGACAAGACAAAGCTATAACACAGGAGAGACAGTGAACTGGGACAGACGACGACAACGACGACAACGGGGATGTTGAGATGAGGAGCGAGATGATGAAGATGCTTGTTTCATCTTCAGTATGCACACACAGTATAATGAGCCTGAGTGGACGAATGAGAGAGGCGATAGAAGAGTGAAGAAGTGCGGAAATAAGAACATTACAACTAAAGCGGAAAGAGGAGATGAAAAAAGAACGAGAACGCGAGAAAGTACTTAGAAAAGTCCAATTTCAGAACTATTGTTGATACATAATGAATAGACACTTCTTTATTTCTATTAATTTAAGTTCTCATGAAACCAGAACAGATGTTTTTAGAAATATAATTCTGCAGTTATTGTCGCCAATATACAGACTGTAAAATTTGTATTTATCTTAATTATTACCATGATTTACTACATTTATTTGTGCAGGGTTATGTTCAATATCAAACCTTAATGTTGCTGTAGTATCCTCCAAGCAGAGGGCCCAGGTTCAAAATCCGACCTGTGGCTCCTTCCTGACTCCTAAGTAAAATGACTACTAGGGGAAGTACTATGTCCAGTGTAAATAAAGTTTAGGTTTACAGTTGTGTCATATACAGTGGAGGTCCCCATGTAGGGAGACTTAGTCCTCCAAGTTAACATGGATGACACCAAAGGTAGAAAAATGTCACTATCCTAATTCTCTTAAAAATCTTTAAAAAAGAAAAGACAGAAATAACGTGATGTGTCTGAGAGCCAGAGGCAGGAGACAGAGCGAGCAGTGAAAAGTGAATGACACACAGAAAGACAGTGAGGAGATCAGATGTGGATAAAGAAAACAGATTCGTAATAAATCAACGTGGAGGCAGCAGTGAGCCGGTGAGTGTTTAGGGTAAACACACTTTTATCACCTTCTCCACGCCAACCTGCCAACAGACAGTGTTTCTGGTGTTTTACACGAGCCACAGGCAACTCACTGTGTGTGTGTGTGTGTGTGTGTGTGTGTGTGTGTGTGTGTGTGTGTGTGTGTGTGTGTGTGTGTGTGTGTGTGTGTGTGTGTGGCAGGCAAGCA